CATAGAATCAAAAGTTCAGTTTAGTAGCCATTTTCTTTAAAGTCAGGCTGTAGTGGTTCCTAAATGAAAATTAGGCCCTGATTTTGTGTAAGATGATGTCCAATCTTTGACACTTTAAAAATATTAAAAGATGATGATGAGGAAGGAGTTTTTAAAAATGCAATTTGTAGTTTTTAACAAGTAATGTAGAATAAATAAAAGTACTTTTTAAAAAGTAAGTGTACAATTATTTTCCAGTTAATTCTATGGGACAAAATGATTGCTTTAATACAGGTCTTTTGACAGCATTTCCTAACCTGCTCTGTGAAAAAGAAATAAAATGTAGTGCTCTTTTTCTGTAACATTTTATTTTTTTAAGAGATGGCAGAGGGGGAGTCTCATTATGTTGCTGGCCTTGAACTCCTGGGTTCAAAGGATCCTCCCTGCCTCAGCCTCCCAAGTAGCTGCAATTCCCACACTCAGCTCTCCAAGATTGTATTTGAATGTGAGAGATACAGCAGATGCACTTATTGACGGTTGTGCTGCAGTGAACTGCCCTCCTGAGACGGCTCAACACAACTGCGATGGGCAGGGAGGCCTGTGAGACAGCACTGCAGACATGAATGGAGATGCTGGTGCATCACTATTTATGGCAGCACACACTCACTTTCCACCCCATCTTTGCATTACTCTGCCATCTGTACAGCGATGGCAGTCTGTGAGCCCAACGTGTACTTATTTTATAACTTCAGCACATTTATTTCAGCATGCTCTTTAAAAATATTTAAACCCTCCTGCTTAAACTACTATTTTTTTAAAAAAAACAGCTATGCAGATGACTCTGCTTTTGCATGTTGCAGCAGTTTGGCTGATTTTTTTTTCCCTCTCTATTCAAAGCACACATTTTATTTCAAGAGGTAAGTTGTGCTTTAGAGCTTTAGAGCCGTGCTTCTCAACTTCAATGCAATATGAATCACTTGGGGATGCTGTAGAACTTCCAATTTGACTTGAATAGTTTTGAGTGGCCCCTGAGATCTGTGTTTTTAACAGGCTTCAGGTGATGCAGCACCGTCTGTCCATGGGCCACACTTTGAGGAACAATGCTTTCTGCAGTCTCAAAACTTTGAAGGCAGTTTAAGAGTCCTACAAAACATCCTGTGGTCACTGCTAGAAACATAGACTGGACAACTATGGCAAATTATAGCCTCAGTCTTCTTAAATTGAGTCTTGGATGTGAGCAAAGTGAATGTATAAGATAAAAATAGTAAAATATATAACTTGTAAAAGCCCAAAGAAAATAACTTTATTTTCCAGACAATTGTAACAATATTCAGTAATGTGGTATGAAAAGAGTGGCTTACAATTAATGAAACTTTTCTGTTTGTTATACTTGTATATGAGAAAAGCTATTAACTAGTTTATGTTGACAACAATTTAATTTTTGTTTCTCGTAAATCAAATGAATTCTGCAACTTTTCATACAAACATGCATTTATTTTTATAGTTTTTGTGGAAAGTAAAGAGGCAAAACACATTTAATCAAAAACATCAAACACATTTGAACAAAGACTTATCTATTATGTATAAAAGAAAATATCCAAGACAATTTCTTTAAAATATACACAATTCAAACATAGTTATGCAATATATACATTCATATTTTGACAATCTGCCAAAATAAACAGGTACATATGAAACTATATTTACATAATGGCTACAGTTTCAGTCTTTAGAGTTCAAAGAAATAGTTAATATTTTCACTTATTTCACACTTTTCCCCCATGTTTCTCATTCACCTCTAGATTTTAAATTAACTTTTCAAATTGGTTAAAATGAGTATGCATACACAAAAGGGCATAGTCCTACAAAGTTTTTTATATAATTGTTTTATGTGTGGAAATTGAAATATGAAAGATGGATCAGGGATCTCAGTTTAAGGGATCCTGCCTTCTGTATGATGATGTCTTAATTTTTGAGATTTTCATATATTGGGTTATAGCTATGTATCAGGACAGGTAAATACATTATAAAATTATACACTTTATAACAATTTTTAGTATAATCACTTGTGTGACTATAATAAATTGGCTTTATTTTCTTTACTCTTCACATTTTGAAGATAATTTTTGATAACTATTTTACAAAAATAACATTGCTAGCTAGAAAAATTTCTGTCCAGTTAGGAGTTCTTATTTTGCTGCTGAAATGAGTGATGCACAATTTTAAATCTCTGTAGTTTCTTCATAAGTTATTTTACTATCTTACTATTTTATAAGCCTTGTGTGGCAGTCAAGTTTTTACCACATTCTATAGACCTTGTCTGTATACCATTTATGAAATGGAAATTTGAATTTGACATCTTTTATGCCCTCTACTGACTTTTAAAGCAAAAATATTGTTGAATAGGAACACATAGCTTTTATTTAAAAAATGTTTTTCCCCTGAATTTCTTGTATGAATACTCACCTTTGCTTAAAAGTGCTTGAGAAATACTGCCCCCCAGCATTGACAATGTCTGGAGACATTTTTTGATTGTCCTGACTGCAGGGGGAGGATGCTCTGGCATCAAGTAGCTAGAGGCCAGGGATGCTGCTAAACATCATACCTTATAGGACAGGGCTGCTGTCCTACAA